GTATATAGACGTCATTTGGGTGTTTAGGGTGTTGGCAAACATATGTATGACTCGTTTATCCATGTTTTGTTCTTGACATGTTCAGTTGCTTATCGTTCGACACAGGAATCCGGAATATCCGTTCAAGCGAGTACTACCACGCGTATGATGGGACTTGCTGCCTCGTCGTCGCTTCCAAACGCCCATACATCCCCATTAGGTTTTATCCGGAAGCCAAACAGGCGGAATTCAAACACGAGCATTACACTTAGTGGCAATACAGCTTTCATAGACTCGGGAGTAGGCTTGTCGAATGGACAACCCACCGTAGCCGCGACGCATTACATTACAAGTATAGAGGATCTCGAAGCCAATGACGAGAACACGTTGCAGTCCATGCGCGAAGCTAGGAATAACCTGGCCATTGTGGAGCGAGAGCACACGTGTTCGAGTAGTGATGATGACAACGAGCCCGAGCAGACGCCCAGCGATAACTTGCAATTGAGATATACGGATATTACGCTTGGGAAGGAGGTACGTACGGCACACGTATCTATGCAGGCGTTGATGGTTGAGTTCGTAGGGTTTATTTGTATACTCATATATTCCTAATCTGTGAGCACAAATCTCTTTGAGTCCGAAGCAGTGCCTATTAATATACATTACGGGCGTGGTTGTTTGCACGTTGCACGTGTTTGGCTTGATCTGATCTATTGTCCCAGCGCAGTGCGATTGCAGGTGTAGTCAATAATCGAAGTAAGAACCCTACGTATTGCAATTCTGTACCCATTGATACTTTAATTTACGAATTTAACCTACCAGCACGGCGTTGTATGCTTGAACGTTCACGCTTGCCATAGTCATTGTGTAGCCCCAGTTTTGGTGAAAAGGGCACGTTTGCTGGCGTTTGTTCTTACTCCTGCATCTACAATCCACATTTGTCTAGGGATCGGCCGGTTTCTAACACAAACTATTCGTTGACCAGCCTAACTTATACACCTCATGGTTTGCAACTTCTCTGGTCGCTAGTCAAAGGTAGACCACCACGACGACCGTCTCACTTCAGTCTCGTGACAAATTCCTGCTATAGTTGTGCCTATTCGCGATGTATATATGTGTACACTAAAACCATACCAATCGCTCTGGGTGATCCTAGTTGGGTCGAGGAGGGTTTGGAGTGGTGTACGCTGGCAGTCTCTATGGATCTCCCGTGGCCATCAAAATGCTGCATTCAAATGTTGCGGATAGCGACGAGTTCCTGAACGAAATTGATGTCATGAGGTGTGTGTCTGTGGTGTGTTGTTGTGGCAGTGCAATTGTAACCCCAGCGCATGCATGCTTGTGATCGGCATGGTCCTAATTCGAGTGACGGCAACGTTACACATTGTTTTTTATCTCCCGAACCTTTCTTGGCCTCCAATTGATTGATAAAGCTGCGGTACTGTCAGTCTATCACGCACTCTGGCAAACATTGAAAGTCTTTGTTTTCTGAGAAGTACAGCCAATAGTTCTACCTATCCGCTCCGATTCTCATTCGCACCGTATTACTCCCGACTTACAGGCGGCTTCGTCACCCGAATATCGTGCTGTTTGTGGGTGCTACAGTGGGGCCAGATCCGCTTTGTATCATCACAGAATTAGTATCCCGCGGCCCGCTTATGAAGATTATAGACGATAAGAAGGAACCTTTAGGCTTAGGAGGTGAGTACTTCATATATACATACATAAATACATATACATAAATACACACACACACACACATACACACACACACACACATACACACACACATACACACACACACACAC